TTTTAATATGTATGCAATTTTATAAATTGTTCAAAAAATAAAAAAATAAAAAAAAATAAAAAAAATAAATAAATAAATATATTTATATATATACATTGTATTAATTTGTATTGGATTTATTTAGTAACAAACAACTCTCTCTAAATAATTTGCAAGCTAATTTATAAATAAATTTACTAGTACAAATATAAAACATAAAATAAATAAAATAATTAAAATGATTTGAAAGATATTTTTATCTTTACATAGACTTATCCCATGGTATTATATCCTATGTATTACTAATACCTCCAAATAGAAGGTATTAATAATACATCCTACAATACCCCCTTACATCCAAATAATCTAATGACTTATACTTGGCTTTGTACATTTGGATAAATCATAGGAAATTTTTTCTAGAAGTGGTCAAGTCATGCATCTATTAAATTATGTACATGCAGAGTTATAGCTTCAACCCATTAATGACTAGCTGGATTGATAGAAATCATTATGATTATAGCTATGTATTCAAAGATCCTATTTTTCCTTTCAGCCACTTTATTTTACTATGGATCCCTAGGTATAGAGAAGTTTGATCAGAATCATGAGTGGTACAATATTATAGTATTAATTTTGTATTTTCAAACTCTGTTCCTTGGTTAGATCTTATTGATGTAAGTTGATTTCCTAGAATCTTTTCCAACTTTGTTACTAAAGTACTCCCTTGTCTCTAATTACTTGTATATTTATGTTTTAATAGTTGTTCTTAATTACTTGTCCATTTTGACAAATTAAGAAAGGACAATTTTTTGTACCTATTATTTCCCTCAATTAATTACTTTAAAAAAGGTAAAACTTTTTGAAAATCTTAAGTTTTTAATTCACCTACTTCATAATTAATAGGGATAAAATGGTAAACTCACTATGTTTATATTATTTTCTTAATAAGTGTGTCAATTCAAAAGTGGACAATCTTTGTATGTGGTTGCAACTTCACCTGACTACTACTAGGTCCAGCTAGACTATAAGGAACTAAACAATGGCTTGTTTTGGGGCCCAATATCTAAATTTGGAAAGAATTTTTTTGGTAGAAAATATAATAATTTTTTTTTATCTTTTAATGTGGAAATTGTTGTGATGATTGAAATAGATTTTAGGTAATTGTAATATCCTTTCTTATGTGGCTAGCTATCTAGTTTGTTGCTTCATTTATATCCCAATAACTAACATGAACTCACATTATTATTTCTATACTTCAACTTTTTTCATTCCCCTTTTACTATTTTTTAATTCTTTTACCGTTAAATAGTAATTCTCAAATCTCGCAAACAGTCAAACCTTTTTCATTTTGCAAAACCTGTTGTTGTCTCTTACAAAAATGATAAAGTGTATATATATATATATATATATATATATATAATTTTAAAATCATGAACTCCTAACTTGAATGTTAAATTACTATAATATCCCTAACTTAGGTTGTGGATTTTTCGATGAGTTATGACTTTTCCGATAAGTTGTGACTTTTTTCAAAGGGTTGTGATTTTTCGATGAGTTGTGTCTTTTCCAATGAATTGTGACTTTTTCAATAAGTTTTGACTTTTCTAAAGGTTTGTGACTTCTCGAAAAGGTTATGACTTTTCAGATAAGACACAAAAAACACTTGGTCATACTACTCTTTGTTGACTATAAATAGAGGAGCTTCCTCTCATTTTTCAACCACTAATTTTTTAAATCTTCTACTCTTCTTCTTCTTGCATTTAGAATTATTTTTTTGATTTATTGATGTCGAGTGAGTTCGAAGTTTAGCGGATTATGGGGCACTATTCTGATGAAGTAAATCATTCTATCCTAATAGGGTATATTCCATAACTTCGAGTACTTGAGGAAAATAATTTTAATTATAAAATATTATTTTTTCGCTTAATATATACATTAGTATGTAATGTTCCAATATATAAAGTTAACATGATGTAGTCTAATTTCATTTGTTTTTGTTAACAATTTCTCTTGTGATGTAATATATGCTTCTGAATATTTTTTTTCCAAAATTTAATGAATTTTCATGATTTGTTTTTTTTTAATGCTCAAGACAAAAGAATGAATTTATTTATCAATGCTACTTATGTGATTGAGATTGTCAAGAAATTTGCTTCAAAATAATTATTACTATATAAACATTGTCCTTTTGTTTTACTTATTTACTATTTCTTGATATATAAGTATTTTTGACGAAGAGAAGTTCATATGACTTGTAATAACGCAAGTTGAAGTTTGTATTAATTTAATTATTATTTTTTATTTGATATATAATATTATAAGATAAATATGTTCATTAATGCAAATATATATTTGTATTTGGGTAGGTATTTTTATTTAAATTAAAGTATTATATATGTCACAAATGTATTATCAAGTTAACAAGGTCTTCTAACTTCAAAATATATTATTTTAAAATATTTCGAGTTATTTTTATTTTAAAAGAAAAAACACTCACAACAAATGTGAAAATATGTGAATATATATGAATCATTAAAAATTAATTATTTACAAAATAAATTTTATATTCAGTAATATGGAATAAACATTTACATTTAGTCCCTACACTAAATAAAAATCTAATAACTAAAAAAAATAGTAACACTAATTAAAAGTCCTATTTATTTATGTACGTATAAAATTTATTAGAAATTCAGCTATTGCACGTTAATTCTTCAGCTATAACATTATAAATTCTCTTAGTTATTACTAATTATTGCAAACGTTGTTCACACTTTTTTACATTATTAGGTATAATATTATGAATTCCATAGTTACATTAATTATATTTCTATCTTTCATCTTTCCTTATATTAACTTTTGACCAATAATTTTTCATATTATTACACCGCCCCTATATATGTGATAACATGCTGTTGTTATTTTTCCTTTGACGAATCATACTTGGTTGAATAAATTGAAATAATTTACAAGTATATGAATTATATCTTTATTGGGTGTAAGATGAATAGGTGATTATATATATGGTTTCACACATATAATATATTCTTTAATTTTAATTTTAGTTTTTCTGGTAAAAAAAAGAAAATCTTTCTCAGTTAACTATGGACAGTCAGATAACTATCTTTGATTTATGTACTTGGTCAATCGAAAAGTGTAATATGAGAGCCAAAAACAAGATCAGTTAACTATGGACAGTCAGATAACTATCTTTGATTTATTTACACAGTCAATCGAGAAGTCAAGTATGAGAGCCAGCAACAAGAACGTCATCTTTTATGTTTTAACTGATAAAATAAAAATTAATATACAAAAAATAGTTCTAAAAGATAAAATATAGTTGTTCTCTTCACATGTTCATATGGCATCTAAAGAGTTTAACGTGGAATACACGTTCAAAGCACATCTGGTTAGATGACAAGAAAAATACACAACAAATATCATCTATAACGTAATATTAGTGAGATACGACTACTATGATTGAACTTCATCAAATTGAAATAAATATATACATTATTGTATTTAACTAATAAGATTTTTCATTGACGATCTTCATATAGGTTTGCGTGAATAAAAGATATAAATGATAATCCACATTGAACATTCACAAAAGAATCTGCAATATTATTTTGTGCTAAGCTCTTCGCCTAAATAGGCAATACTATTTACTATAACATATATTTTCTGAATTGATAATCACATGCAACACACGTGTCAAAAAATTAGTATATATATGTGATCAAAGATTGAAAAGGCAGATAATTGTTAATGTTGGAAATGGATCAGGAGGGAGTTTTACATGGGATGTGTTAGATCAAGCTTTATTCTCACTTTACTCAAATGTGATCTGGTTCAATTTACTGGCTTGATTAATTTTAAGGAGTGTACAATAGTACTACTGTTAAGATATCCCACTTCGGTAGATGGATGGAAATTTGGTCTCCTTATATACAGGGGCGTATCTAGAGGGGGTGCCGTGGGTTCACGTGAACCCATGCTCCCCCCTCTAGATCATATATAGTAGTGCTATATTTTTTATAAAATATTTAATTATAGATGTGTGAACCCATGTTCAAAGTATCATATAATAATACGATGATGATTGGGTGCACCCCTCTAAGTGAGGATATAAATTTAAATCTTATATCTATCTTGTCTTTTACTAACACCTCTCTAAGTGGTTATTGGTTACACTTTTGGCGTTTCAACTAATTATTCTTTTGTTTTTTTTCCTTTAGTCTTTCAAAATTTTCAAGTGTGTTACATTGAAAATTCCTAAAATAATTAGCACTGTAAAATTTTTATATAATTAAATCAAATGTGTATATTAAAATTTAAAACTAGTAGCATTATATGTTTTGGACCTATAATTTTTAAAATTTAATGGCTCATATTAAAAACCTAAAAGTCAAACCGATCAAATAGATACATTGTTTTGTAATTGTGCACCATCTTGCGGAAATCTTGGATACGCCTCTGCTTATATAGACAAACCTCTCTTCATTAGCTAGCTTTTGGGATTGAGTTATGCCTATGTGCTATATTTTTACATAGTATCAGAGTCAGACTCATCTTGATTTGTTATTCCACCGATGATGGGGCCCTTATTTAGAAGTGTTCACCCTCAAGTTGAGGTCTGGGTGTGCGCTGTTAAGATTTCCCACATCGATAGAGAGATAAGAATTTGGTCCCCTTATATAGACTTAGACAAACCTCCCTTCATGAGCTAGCTTTAGGGTTGAAAATGCAAATACTTGTATCATTATTTGTGGCTAGTGAAATTGTTTTTTCTATTATTTATGTGATGAAAGGTTGAAAATGCAGATAATTGTAAATGCTGGAAATGGATCAGGAGGGTTCTTTACATGGGATGTGTTAGACAAGCTTGGTGCAGACACATTTGGATCTCTCCACCTAAATCCAGATGGAATGTTCCCTAATCACATCCCTAACCCAGAGGACAAAATAGCCATGTCCTTAACAAGAGCCGCTGTGCTTGAAAACAATGCTGATCTCGGTATTGTTTTTGATACAGATGTTGATCGTAGTGGTGTAGTAGATAGTGAAGGAAATCCTATCAATGGTGACAGGCTCATTGCACTAATGTCTGCAATTGTTCTCAAGGAACATCCTGGTACCACTATTGTCACTGATGCTCGTACAAGTATGGCCTTAACTAAATTTATTACAAATAAAGGAGGCCAACATTGCTTGTATCGAGTTGGTTATAGGAATGTCATTGACAAAGGTGTCAATCTTAACAAGGATGGTGTTGAAACACATCTCATGATGGAAACTAGTGGCCATGGTGCTTTGAAAGAAAATCACTTTCTTGATGATGGTAACAATTAACTACTTTCTAATTTTCAATTATTTTAAGTAGGGACAAAGGACAAATATACCCCGAACTATCGTAAATGGTATGCAAATACCCTCCATCATACTTTTGGGACATTGGTGCCCCTTCGGTCCAAAAACTAGAACCTATATACCATTCACTCTAACGGAAGACTAAATAGGGATACGTGGTGCATTCTTATCCATTGGGTCAGCGGATAAAATTATGACACGTGTATGTCCGTTAGTATAAAGGGTATATATGTTCTAGTTTTTGGACGTCAGGGACACAAATGTTCCAAAAGTATGACGGAGAGTATCTACATACCATTTATGATAATTCGGGGGTATATTTGTCCTTTTTCCCTTTTAAGTATACTTCTTTCATGGTTCCTTTTTGATTTCTAGGTGCTTACATGGTTGTGAAAATTATCATTGAAATGGTAAGAATGAAGCTTGAGGGATCAGAAAAAGGCATTGGTAGTCTCATAAAAGATCTTGAAGAGCCATTAGAGTCGGCGGAACTTAGAATGGTTGTCCTTTCTGAGCCTAGATATGCTAAGGCTAAAGCATTTGAAGCCATTGAAGCATTCAGAACCTATATTGAGGTATATTTTTGATTAGTTGGTGAAAGAATGTGAACGCTTTCATATCACATAATTGAGTGGGAAAGAATGTCTATATAACTTCCTTTCTTTCATCACATATAAAAAAAAACTTAAAGTTGTCTAACTCAGTTGTTGACGTGTGTAACCTCACTCATCTAAAAAAAAGTTTAAATTGTTAGAGAGTATATTTATTTGATTCTTCATTTGATAATGGACGACAATGAGATTTGACTCAGGTCTTTTGTATGCTCTCATACCATGCATATTAAAGTACATCTCATCTAAAAGTTGTTATATGGAGCGCGCATACTTTTATTTACTATATTAAGTAAATGTGTGTTCTTCACCTTTTAGCAAGGAAGTTTACCAGGATGGGAACTTGATGCTTGTGGAGATTGTTGGGTAAGTGATGGTTGTCTTGTTGACACTAATGATGATCCAACTGCAATTGATGCTTATATGTATAGGTAATAATTAATCTCATAAATTATAAGACAAAAATTTACAATATACTTAAATTATTGGACATTACCTAAAGAAATGTTGACTTATATTCAGGGCCAAAGTTTCATCAGAAGGAAATGAGGAACATGGATGGGTTCACCTTCGACAAAGTATCCACAATCCAAATATTGCTGTTAATATGCAATCCACAGTTCCTGGTGGATGCCAATACATGGCAAAAGTTCTAAGAGACCGGTACGTTCTTTTGTGCTACCTTATTTTCTTTTGTTGGGTTTTACCGCTACTTCTTTAATGGTTAATCCATTTTATCTTGGGAGGATTTAATCTGCAACTTCGGGTACTTGAGGGGATTAAATTTCTCAAGGACACACAATGGGTTCTGTGGACTCCGATAGTTCTTTGTGTTTTCTTTTCAGTTTTTATTATTTTTGGTTTGCTAATCTCAATACAGGAGATAACATCTTTTTGGTTTATCGTTTAACAGTTTGAATGATCACACATTTCTTATGTTTAATTAGGTTTCTCTTGCCTAGTGGAATGGACAAAATACTTGATGTCACTCAAATTGATAAGTATGCTACAAGTGGAAATCTAAGTTAAGATGCTGAAGTTCATGCTTCAAATTAAGCTATCATGTGTGTCATTTGTCAATAATGTTCAATACACTCTATTCAATGGGAAAAAAATGAGAAACAAGAAAAGAAGAAGAAGAAAAAGAGTGTGAAAGTGTATTCTTCCTTAATGGACTTGGATATTCGTATACCTTTTCACTATTGCTTATTATACTCGGTGGTGGATCCAGGATTTGAAGGTTGTGGACGCTTCATTTTTTACGTTGAATTGTTACCATTCACATAGTATAAGTTTGAGAACTATTTGAATGCATCATGAAAAAGATTAATGAGGAAACTATGTTTGATATTGCCATCACAAAAGCAGACCTCTAGTCACAAATTACAATTGTACTCCATGAATTTTTGTATGTTGAAATGGAAATGTGCAATAACATCACTTGAACTTGTGAATATCTTACGTTTAACATAGACAAATTAAACAACATTATAAATGTATAAAATTTATTTGTTATGTAGTTTATCGATGATAAAATTTGTGATTCAGTGAAGAGAGTGTGGAGCATAGTTCAAATAATTAGAGCACGTAACTATGAATCTTTGTATCAAACTTTAGACAAAAATTAGTGTTATACTTGGTGATTTTTTTCATATTTTAAATACAAATTAATCACAATATTATTGCTTACTGTTGTGAATATCTTACACATTATTGTCAAGATCCGAAATCGAGCCATGATGGCGCCAACCATAAACCCACAGTAGGCAAGCCAAAATTCAACTACGAGTAATAAAAATGAACAATCTAAAATAAAATTATTGAGAAGAAAAATAGACAACAAATGAGGCCTTAATATAGATATATACATAAAGGTGTAAAATATACAGATGCGGCCTAAGAGTGACCAAGAAAGACAAACTATACACAAGAACCAACTCGGACATGGTGTCACCGGTACAAGAGCATCTAAGTACCAAAAGGACTATGTACAACAGTTCTTTCTAATCAAAATACAAAATACATAGCTAATACAAAAGAGAAAAAACAATAAATCTTAGGACACCAAGAGCTCACCACGATCCAACAACGACGGCCTCGGAAGATCTAGAATCGGCGGGGGTGGCTCGTAGTGGGTGCTGCATTAAAAAAAGATGTTGATGTGTAGTATGAGTACCAAAATACAGATTACTCAGTAAACATCTTAGGCCGACCGATCTTAGATAGTGACTATACAAATATAAGAGGCACGATAGTGCTAAGACTATGACTCAATAGATACCTGGAAACATACATGCCAACATTGACAGTGAAGATGACATAAATAATGAGCATTTGACACCCAGAACAAGTAAATCTCAATCAGACACATAATGCAAGATGATGCAATGCACGTGTAGCCAATGCATAAAAGTAAAAGCCTAGTGAAATCCATCGAGACACTCGGAATGATCCCTTAAACTTCACAACTGATGAAATATAAGAAAATATAACTTGAAATAGGTTCTAGGGACGCCCGAAGTGCTTCCTCTAACATAGAAGTATAAAAGTAAACCTCCTTTCTATCTGAAACTCTTATAAAATTAGTATTTTTTCTCGAAAATATTAGACCTCGTAAGTAAAAGCGATGAGTTTAAAGTAAATACTCCCTCCGTTTCACAAAGAATGACCTGGTTTGACTTGGCACGGAGTTTAAGTAAATAAAGAAGACTTTTGAATCTTGTGGTCCTAAATTAAAGTTATGTCAAATGCACAAAATTGCCCTTAATCTTGTGGTCTTAAACATGTCACGTGGAAAGCAAAAAGTAATTAAAATGTTACTAAAAAAGGAAAGAGGTCATTCTTTTTTAAACTGACTAAAAAGACTTTTGAATCTTGTGGTCCTAAATTAAAGTTATGTCAAATGCACAAAATTGCCCTTAATCTTGTGGTCTTAAACATGTCACGTGGAAAGCAAAAAGTAATTAAAATGTTACTAAAAAAGGAAAGAGGTCATTCTTTTTGAAACTGACTAAAAAGGAAAGGAGGTTATTTTTTGTGAAACTGAGGGAATATTTCTTTGGAACAAAAACCTCAAACAAATGATGTATTTCCTTACAAAATTACAAGTTTCCTCGAGTAAAATCAACAACACGCTCCCTCAGATCCCAAAATAAGTAAAAATCATGACAAACACCATTTAAGTGTCTCAATTACACATTTCCCCAGTGTTAGTTCAAATCATGTCATATGCAGATGTCGTACGCATAAGTGATGTACCACGCATTTATGCTGCTTGTAATGCTTTAAACTTGAGTTTTGCATGTATTTTAAGCATTTATGGCAAATTATCTATGTTTTACAGGAAAATAGATTTTGACAGTTCTGGTTGAAGATTACGGTGTAACAACTGAAGTTTGGAGTCCTATGAGTCGATCTACGAGCCACAAACTTTTCTATAAGCCGTAGGAATGATTCGTATAAGGGATTAGAGGTTTTTGAATCTAAGTATGGAGCCACGAGAGAGGATTACGAACCATAAGAATTTCTACAAGTTATCCAAGTCGTAGAAAACATCAAAAACTTTGGATTCCATTACTAGGACTACAATTGAGTAGGACGAACCGTGCAAAGTTCTACGAGTCGTAGGACCTATTTGTAGAAAAACTCTAGAGATATATTGAGAAATATTCTTCCACGAGAGGTGTCTACAATCCGTAGAAACACCTACGAGCCATAGAAATTAAAAGAGTGTCGAATCTTATTTTTTCTATGTTTTTTAGTTTATTTTATTTAGGATTAGATGTCTATAAATAGTCGTCTCTTATTTATTTTATGTAGTTTTAACAGTTTGCTTTTTTTAATAGAATTAAGTTGTGAAACACTTTTCTATTTTAATTCTTGAATCATTGGTTTATATTATATCCTTGTTTATCCATTGTTACTTTGCAATTTCAACTGAAGATTCTGGAACTCACCTACTCTAATTGTAAGTTCATGATTTATCTTAACCAAATTAATATGAATTGTGATTACTCAAGCATGAGTAGTAATTCACAACTAGGATTGTGAAAACCATGAGAAATTAATAAAGTAGATCTAATAACTAGTAATTCTTAAATAGTGATTATGCATGTTTTTTTTTTCTTCACTTTTCTTACTTTTTAATGAAGGACCATGTTAGAGGTTGCCTTATTCCTACTCGGAGGACCAAGGGGGTAACGAATGAGAAAATGAATTATGCAATGGAGATTTGAGGTTACCAACCCTCATTTAATAGCTTGAACATACCAAGGAATAATTAATCTGGTGTCAAGGGTAAGGGTTAGCAAAGCATACACCCGTAGACAGACCAAGTTGCATGGTGAAATTCACTTATTTAAGTGATTATCCACTTAGGTGATACCTAACTTACCGACTTTTCATGCTAGACACTAGACAGGGTTACTACCCCGCTATGTGGAACACCATCAAGTTCCACATATTTGAGAGGTTCACAAGGCCTCGACCTCTTTATGTCCCAACCTAGGTTAGATATTTCTATGAGTTCTATGCTAAGGCCTTGCCAAAAAAGAGAGAGGGAGTCATCTGAAAACCCTTGAATGAAGTTGAAGTTCGAGGAAAGAAAGTGTAGTGCCATGTCGGTGAAATAAACGATGTCCTCGGCACAAAGGGCAACAACTTGTATAATTTGCGTATGAAGCACGACCTAGACACCTTGAAGCGATGGTTAACCCCATTGATTTATGATATTACCCCTCCATGGATGGTTGACAGAGTGAAGATAGAGAAGAAGGATATGAACATCGGAGCTAGTTATTGGTTCGAGTTCATCAACAGAAACTTAATGTCATCCCAGAACGAGTCAATCCTTTGGCACCCAAAGGTCATCCTAGTTGGTACCATTATTGACTAGGAGGAGATTCATGTCGGAGCCATTATTACTGAGGAGATGTTGATGAGAGCTCATCAGGAGCAGACTTCTCTCTCCTTCCCAATCTTGATCATACAACTGTGTGAGGCTGTCGGAGTTCCCTACCAGGAGAGGTCAAATGTTCGTGTCACCCCTTACTCTTCCAACGACATTCGCAGGATCGGAGCAGATCATTTGAGAGATGATGCAGCTCGGAAAAAGCTGACACCACCAGACACCACTCTAATGGTAGATCCTACTATACTTGAGGCCGATGATACTCATCCTGCTCCTTTGGTGGAGCCGCCAGGTACTCCTCAGCCTTCTTCTATACCTTCTAGCTCAACCACTCCCTCCACCTCTTATGCACCTATCCCTACATCCCGGTCTCCCTTGACCTAGGCCTTGACATACCAGATGGGTAACCTAACCCGTTCTGTGGATGCTAGGGCATCTAGGATAGAGAGAGATATGCTTAAGATTACCGAGAGAGCTATTGAGGCAGCGATGTGCCCAGTTAGGGTTGAGGTTGTGCTGCATAGAACTAATTTAGCATCATATGCGGAGAACCTCTTGAGCCAAATTATCCGTAACTTCTCACCCGTAAATCCTTTTCGAAGCATTGGTTTATTTGAATTTCCAACTTAGGCCAAAATCCTAAGTTGGGGGGGGGGGTTGGGGGATGT